CCCCACGCTCGTGTTCCGTCCACGACGAAACTTGGATTAGCCTTCGGGGTTACTGCGGCACGTGCAAATTTGCCCCGGAATGGGTGTGCATTTCGTGCAACTTACACGTCGAGGACTCACGGGGAACGACGGTTTCCGGCTTCCCACACCTGCGTACACGGTATACCGCCTGGCTTCGTGCGGGTCTCAACGCCAACGTCGGGGTTACCGATTGAATCGCGAACGACGCGATTTTGACGTTCCCTCGCGCGTGAACTGGGGCGGCCGCATCGTTTTCACGACTCGTAGCCGCGCACACACACGCGGGAAACGAATTCCGCCGAGTCGACAGAATTTCCGACAGCAGGCGCAATAATTGGAGCAAATCTTCTCGATTCAACAGCGATATCGTCGGAATTAATGATCTAATTATCGAAACGACACATAACATAGTAGTTTCAATGATATTCGCCGTTGAACCCGGGATTTACTCTAATTACGTTACCGATGGAAGTTCTATCGACTCAACGGCATTTCTCTCTGTTTTCTAAGAGGAACATCTTTAAGTGTGATTCTTCTCCCGCTCACAGTGTATGCTCATTGCAGTTTTCCTTACCGAAGAGAAGACTTTTGCTATTTGTAATTATTACCTAATAATATAACTATGTATTCATTTAGGAGAAACATTTTTTCCAATAAGTTTTGTTACAATGTGTGGTAATAACTGTATACACAAATCGTGCTAATACAATTTTTTTGAGTTGATATCACAAGAAGATATACGTTGAGGCCGGAAATGACTGTAATTTTAGGATTTCTCTCAGTGCTTTCACAATGTATGCATCAACGAGACGCGTGACCATCGTAATTCTTGGAGCAAATCTTGACCCGGTCGCCCCTACGTTTCGTGGCATGAGATTATAATTTGTCAGGATAAACGTAGGAAAATGAGGCGGTTCAAATCGCAAGCCGAACATAGGAGATTTTTTGCAATCTATTGCAAAATGAGGTAAAGCAATAAGCGGTGGAACAATGCGTTTCGCACAGGAGAGCTCGTGTCAGAGATATTTGACGCCGCACTCGCTAATTTGCTCTCGCCTCTCGCAGGTATTCGACGCTATTATACGATCGATACCGACGTACTAATTACGTTATGCAGCGGTTGTGGGCAGCCGAAGAGTTAGAAATGTTTGAACTTGAACGTAATAATCACGGGGCGTTTCCAATAATAACCTGAACATAACGCGAAAAACAGGGACCGAGAGAGAGGAACACAGAAAGAGAGATCGTTATATTCGCAGTTCGTGTCCTTGCAAGTTGCCAGAAACGGATCGCGCTATTTTCGCAAGTTTTCGACGGCCGACAAAAAGAAAAGAACGAAGACGCGGGGGCGGTAGGAGAATTCTCGCTGGAACATTTTAAGGACACATCGCGGCAAAGTACGCGAGAGGAGAAAATCAGAATTTATTACATCGGCACACTTCCCGGGCGACCATGTACGCGAACGGGAGAAAGCGCAAAAAGAAGCAGAGACGCGACGGGGTGGGATTTCACGGTACCGTTAAAAATATTGGACTGGACGTGCTGGACGTTGTGTGTGCGTGTAAAACACGGCGTATTTCGCGAAAGAGTGGCTCGTCTATTCGACAACAACCGTGAGATACGGCACGGATCTCTACATGTCCACCTCTCTCTCTCTCTCTCTCTCTCTCTCTCTCTCTCCCTCCCTCTATCATTTTTCTTCCGTCATTTCTACAACACTTCGCAGCCCGTAAACTGTTCTCCGCGCATTAAAATCTAAAAAACGGTCTATGCTCTGCGTCGCGTTTACGGTACGAAAAAGTCTCGGTGACAATTGTAAATCTTTACGAAGCGGCAGTAAGCGTTTTTAATTAAACGCCACCGGCAGGAACGGGGAAGGGGACTGGAAGGTAATAACGTTCGCGACAATGAGCGTACGGGGAAAAAAGGCCGATTCGTTGCGCGTGCATTCGGTGTGCAAGAAATGCGAAGGTAAATTAGCAGTATTAAAAGGAGACGAGTACAGCTCGTAACGCTTCTCCTTCTCTCTCTCTCTCTCTCTCTCTTTCTCCCTTTTTCCTTTTATACGCTATTCCAGTTGATTATCAACAGAGTTGTCGTTTTTATTTGCGGACGTGAGACCCACGTAGAAAGGAGATCCACGATTCACCGGGTTCGCCCGGGTCGAGATCCAATTTTGCGAAAGCCCGCTAATGAATGCACGGCTCGGCACTCGACGGATGAGTCGCGTGGTCATTTCCTCCATATCGATCCCCTCGCGCTTACCTCGAGAAGGGGGTGCTCACGCTGCGGCACGTGACAATACGGTGCGTTAATCATACGAATGAATTCCTCGCCACGCTTTGAATTCCATGACGCGCGAGAGCCCACGGCCGATGAAATTGCCGCCCTGTCGCGGAGGGGTGGGGGCGATTTGAATTATAACCGGCGGGATCGATGAAAACACATCCGGAAGGAGCGATGTAACCGGTTTCCACGGTTTTCCGCGCGCGGAACGAGACGCCGGAAGGACTCGTCGGACGAAAAATACCCTCCCTCTTCCCTCCCCTCCCTGCCGCGATTAGGCGGGCGATCGGGAGAATAATCGATTGACTGGGAAAAATGAACGGGAGACCGGGATTCGGAACTCGGTGACTCAACGTTATGTTGATTCCCGGTCTCCGTCTCCGTTTTTGGTTTATCCTACGTGGGATTTATTTTCGAAAGCGGAGCGCCCGAGTCGAAATCTTGATGTTATTTTGATACTCTTAACCTTGAAAGTAACACTTAATGCTGAAGTAATATCATAGGTGTCTAAGGCTGCATTACGAAAAAAAATGGTAAAAATTGCAAATTCTTGTTGTTGTCGAGTTGTTGGCTGCGAATTAAAAATCAAAACTGCTAATTTAAGAAGGGTGGATCCAATGCAATGCCCACAAGCGTTATTTTAGGTCGTCATATCACGTCCGTCATTTTGAATTTTGAATTTTGAAGCTCAACATTGAATAAAGGGACTTCAGAATCATTCGGATACCCAATTTTAGAAATATTGAATTATCAGAAATATCAAAATACGACGTATTCTGTTTTCGCCAGTTTGGATCACTTTTTGTGTAAATGCGGAATTGCGTTTTTGCCGGTCAAAGGATTTGGTTTATAACCAATTTTTATTGAATTTCTTTGTAAACTGGTTGTCGCCAGTAAACCAATATACCATTGTATCACGTTGATAATACATGGAAAAAAATAATTTGCCTGTACAGCAAATTTTATATTGTCCTAACAAAATGTGTCAGTTATTATGTAGACGGTAAAACGATCCGTTGAGAGTATTGATTGCCATTCGTTGGATTATTTTGCTGCGTCTATAAATTATTTTGCTGTAATAAAAAATTGGCAAATGTAGGAAAACACTGTTTTGGGCTAACAGCAAATTAACGTGTCCTAAGAATTCACTCGGCAGAATATTTCTCGATCCTGTCAACAAAATTATTTCTGCTCTGATTACGAATAACTTGCTAATATGATCATGCCAGCTACATTTTGTCGCTGTCGCAACGAATATGCAGTAGTAACGATATGGTTTCGCTACGACAGCAAAATTATTTTTCTCCGTGTAGTAGTGATCACATGGAGGCAACGTTTTCTTCTTAGTAATAAAAAAATAGATGTGAGATATAATATTTTGCACAAAATATGGAAGAGGCTGTAAGCGTGAGAAAACGCTTGTAAGCCACGTAGACCTAAATATGGAAGAGGCTGTAAGCGTGAGAAAACGCTTGTAAGCCACCTAGACCTAACATGTTACTATCAGGGTTAAGAATAGTTCGCGCCTACTTAGATGTCCGATAGACTAATAAAAACCTACTTTGACGATACTGCCACTTATTGATGCCTCTCTTGAACATTTAATTTTACCGATTTAATTTTAACCTTAAAATACTAACGTACGTTTCCGATCCTTTATAAAAATATCTCGCCGTTTTTAGCCCGCGAAAGCTTAATTTGAGTAATGAAAGCGTGTATTCAACTATAAACTATAAATATGATACAATTGATTACAATTGAAATTGAACCTGTTTTGCTATCTTTGCTTCCTACCGTGTTGTGGAATTAAATGTTTAACACGAGGCCAACGTTTCGACCCGGGCGATCCGGTGATCGCGGAGGGTAGAATGGGGCTCTTCATAGCGGAATAACCGGCTTCTTTTCTCTTCTCTTTTTTGAAATCGCGCGTTCGGAACACGCTCGGCGGACGATTAAATTTATTAGCGTTATGAATCCGATACGCCGCGGGTATACGCTCTCTCTCGAATACGGATCTCGCTGATACGGCGAACTAACGTCGTGCTAATCAACGCATGCCGGCTGGAAAATATCGAGGGATGTAATTCGATTGCACGCATGCACACACACACACACATACACGCACATGTAAGTTTCGACTTGAAATATCATTTCGGTGCGAATAACAGTTCGGAATCGTGCGTTTAAATTCCCGGTTCCCGTAGATTTCAATTCATGGGACGCGCGCCACGGAAACCACGTTCATGGATAACCGTTAAATCGCGGCTGACGCAAATCGTCAGGGGGAAGGGGAAGAGACGAGGGGGAGGGGGAGGGGGAGAGAGTGCACTTTAACTCTCGATGGCGTCGCTAATGCAATTGCCAGCGATTTGACGGGAAACGCGCTCGTTTAACACTTCCGTGAGAATTGTCATCTCGTCAATCATTCAACGAGCAGGCGACTTAACGTCCGACTTGATTTCGATTGGTTTGGCGGATGACCGACGGATAGCCATCGATCACGAGTTTTTGGTTATTTATAACTTCCTAGTGTAACGTCACAGAAACGTAACGTATTTTTAGACGACATACAAATAAGTGCACGCGACACTCGTACAGAGAGAAAGAGAGGGAGGGAGAGGGAGAGAGAAAAAGGCTCGCTGGCGTCGAAAATTATTTTTGCTCGAATAATCAAAAAACATTGATCACACCTCGCAGTAATGGTCGATGGACGCACGATAGCGCTCGCGGAGTCGCCCCCGCAATCGCCGGGCGCGATTCTTTATCCGGGATTAAACTCTGTTAATCCGCCGGATAGACACGACAGACGTCGACGATTCTTAATTGCTCTCCCTCTTTACACCCCCTTCCCCCCTTTCCCCCTGGTAGCGACATCCGCACAATGAACGGGTTTCCTCCTGTATTTTTCTTCCTTCCTACCTTTCGTTGATCTGCTTAAGCAGACGGTGCCGGCGGCACCGTCTTCGCGCGGCGCAGCCGTTTAAGTGGATAAAGACATCGTGGCGCGGCCTCTCCTCCGTCGCGCAGCGTCGGACGACGGTTTAAACCAATTTCGCGGCCTCGTAAATTCATCGTCTTTTTTCTCAGAGCCTATTCCGCCGCCGACCTCCCCCGGTCGTATCGTATTTTTCACCGCCTCGGTGTCTCGTTATAAAAGACCGCGACGCGATAATAATAAGTCCGAGCTGTTATCGCGTTTCCATAATCTGTGATACGCCCACGGCGATTCGCGCGGATCACCGTCGATCGCGGGCCGACGCGGGCGGACCTTCTCATCGACAACCGCGCGCGAGCGAAAGAGCCTTCCTTCCGCAGTGGAAACTGTGGCGACAACGAGCAGGCGATACACGCGCGAGCGCGCGTCTCTGATCAAACGCGTTATTGAGTATTCGTTCGCGTTACGCGGTCGAATTCGGTCGCACGGCACAATGGCGCGCAATTAGCGCACGGAGAACGGGGACACGCGAATGACGGCGAATCAGCGCGTCCCACTCCGCTCGATCCCGCTCGAAAGGAAGAGAGAGAGAGTGAAGTCACGGTGAATTTTTGAGATGATTACCGATGATCGGAGAACAAAGCGATTCCATGCGAGCACAAAACGATTTCCAGCGAGAGGCCTATGCAGCGTGCGACGGGCAAACCGAGCGTCGCGAACTCCTCCTCGTGATTTACCAAGTGGAAAGAATTTGAAACCACTCGAGTAAAACTATCGCGTTTGCCCGTCATGGAGTGGTGGTGATGGTGGTGGTGGTTGTTTGTGTACGTACCACCGCATCCCCGAAGAATGACTCGAACCCTGAAAAGGGCGTATCGAGTGATTCGAGCGCGTCTCGTATCGACGATTCGGCCGTCTCTCTCTCTCTCTCTCTCTCTCTCTCTCTCTCTGTAGTTACCCTTAATATTGTATACTTAATTGCAATATCGCGAGACTCAAGCAGCGACCGGCCGATTAAAAAATTTCAGCGGACGCGTAATTAGAATCGTTATGCCGAAGCGACGGGATCTTTTTTCCTACCGTTCTCCCGTACACGGAAACTTTGCCAGCCAGTCGAGCCTTCGACAGACGAGGGTGCGTGATTAGAGAATCGTTATTTCGAGATGATGAGCGAAATTTCTTCTTCTTCTTCTTTGTCTCCCCGAATCAAAATTTTGATACTATACTCTGACGCCCTCGAATGATAGTTCGCGCTTACTTTGACGATGCTACAGTTATTAACTTTTCCTCTCGGAATTATAATTCCACAGATTTAATTTTAACGCTACCTTGAAGCTACACAGGGGAAAAGGTCTCTTTGGATTTAGTACACGTGTTTGTTTGATTCGGGCTTGTTTAATATAAAGAACATAATTTAATATCAAATATGACTTTGTTTGAGTGAAAATATTATTCTTTCTCTAGAATAAACCATTTTATTTGAAAAAACGTTATTATTTATAAGGAAATAATGTTTGATTTTCAATAAAAAAAATACATATTTCATTATATATTGAATATTGTTTCACTGAAATACAAAAAAAAACTTTAATTTTTTTTTAACATAGTGTCACTTCTGTGAAATAATTTTTTACTTGTGACAACAAGCGATGTTTGCGTGAAAATATAAAAGAAATATATTATTTGACGTAAAAATATTTATTATTCGAAAGAAACCAAATAATTCTGTTTGTTAAATCAAACGTTTATTCGCTCCATTCGTTCGTTTATTTGCTCCATTCCAAAAGACAAATTTGCTCTCGATAAAAATGCTCTCGATATTCCGATTATTAAATTCTCATGAGTATTCAAAACAACCTATTTGGGCATTAAACTCAGCAAAAACGGAAATTTGAGACATCTTTATGGTCAAAGTAGGAGTAAATTATATCGGTAGAATTGAACTTCTATTTTGCTAACTTAGCTCCTACTACGTTGTCGAATTCAAGGTTTAACATAAGACCAAAATTTCGATTCGGGTTTTTATGCATGCACTGAGGGAAAAAAATATTTATTCAATAGGTTACTGATAACATATTTACTTAAATTTTTCTTTCCAAATTTTCTTGTTTAAACAGAATGAATTGCCTTCATGTAAAGTTACAGATTTTAGAAAATGTGTATTTTTTCATTTGAAAATTTTTTTCAGTGTGAAAATATGTATATAGTGTAAGTAAATATGTTATTAGTACCTCCTGAATAAATATCTTTTTATTATTTAGATTTTTTTCTCTCAATGCGGAAATTTTCCGATTTATCGTTCATTCCCCCTCTCTCTCTTTCTTCTTTTTTAAATGAAGTAAACGAAAACTACTTTTCTATTTTAGGATTAGTAAAGCTTGGCGTACACTGCGTGTTGGGCAAGAAGGTGGCGATCAAGATCATCAACCGCGAAAAGCTTTCGGAGTCCGTGTTGATGAAAGTGGAGCGCGAGATCGCTATTATGAAGTTGATCGACCATCCGCACGTGCTCGGCCTCTCGGATGTGTACGAAAACAAGAAGTACTTGTAAGCATCGACGAAAAATTAAGCAAAAAAGAGTTTCTTACAAAAACAATATTTCATCGCTTTAATGCTAAAGCACACAAGAAGGCGCGCGTGTCGTCTCACGTCTCATTCGCCGTTGCGCATTCTCTTTTTCAAGATATCTTGTTCTGGAACACGTCTCGGGCGGGGAGCTGTTCGATTATTTGGTTAAGAAGGGTAGACTGACTCCGAAGGAAGCGAGAAGATTTTTTCGACAAATAATTTCCGCGTTAGACTTTTGCCATAGTCATAGTATATGGTGAGTCGCGTCTCTCTGTGTTTTTCTGTGAACTTATCGACCGTCTCTCGACGGGCTCCGCTTGATCTTGCGGGAATAACTCACGCGTCACGTTGCCTATGCTGACATTTCAGTCATAGAGACTTGAAGCCTGAGAATCTGTTGCTGGACGAGAAGAATAACATTAAGATAGCGGACTTCGGAATGGCGTCCTTACAACCCGCGGGCTCTATGTTGGAGACCAGCTGCGGATCGCCTCATTACGCCTGCCCCGAAGTCATTAGAGTAAGCTCGCGATCGACATCTCGCGATTGCATAATCCGCGCGCGACAGATCGAGTTTACCGCGGAGATGAGACGGTTTTAACCGAGTAACGAGCTCATCAAGCGAGTCTCTCGGTCGCGCCACGGTTAGAAGTCGCTGAAACTAAAAGCACGCTCCTCTCCCGGCGATAGGGCGAGAAGTACGACGGTAGAAAGGCGGACGTGTGGTCCTGCGGGGTGATACTTTACGCGCTTCTGGTGGGCGCGCTACCTTTCGACGACGACAATCTGAGGAAACTGCTGGAGAAGGTTAAGCGAGGATTGTTTTACATACCGCACTTCGTGCCGCCGGAGTGCCAGAACCTGCTCAGAGGCATGATAGAGGTCGACCCCGAAAAAAGGCTGACGGTGAGTCGTGCCGTTTTTTGAATTAGTATATTGAAAAAAAAAAGAAAGAAACGTGCTACCGTTCAAGTAATATTTACTTGATCCAGGTAAAATCATTAATCCAATACTCTTTGGCAAATATTTGTTGAGACGAGAGGTAGAAATATAATTGACTGTGTGTGTTGTATATGTGTGTGATATAATAATATAAAATGTAATATATATTTCCTTCGTATAATTAGACATTTTGTCTTGTATGTGTTAAAACAATTGCGGCAAATATTAAATTCATAATGATAATAATAATAAAGTATTAAGTAGAAAATATCAGAATTTATTTTTAGAAAATATCTACTGAGGCGGAAAAGTCTAAATTTAAGACCATTTGGTTCCTTCAACGGAAAAGAAGTATTATATAATTCTAATAAATATTCTCTTCAATTTAGAATCATTCGATACTTACATTCAGTAATTCATTTATAAATTAAGGTATTAAAGTAAGTATTCACTACGAGCTGTTGAAATATACTTAAATTGATAAAAATATTATTTGATTTAAGATGCTGAAAAACAGGTAATTACTTTTACTTGATTCTAGCACTTTTTTTTCCGTGCGGCGGCTCTCGAGACTGACGAGAGTGTAACTGCGTGCGAATGATGAAACGTTCGTGCGAAGCCCTACATCCAACATAGGTCACGAACATTGGGCCGATATCTGGTAGATGTGAAAATTCATGTAGATAAACAAAAAAATAATTTAAAAAATTCAACATACGATATGGAGCCCAGTGTTACGTCGGCCAACGTTGGCGCACATTAGCCGTGTCGTGTCGCGGAGCCGGTTTAAAGCGACGCTGCTTCTCTTTCCGTTTCAGTTAGCGGCCATAAACAGGCACGTGTGGGTGACGGCGTCGGGCAAGGGCGAGCTAGAGTTGGAACTGTCGATGATGGACGTAGTGCAGACACACGTTATTCCGTCCGTGGACGCGATCGACCCCGACGTGCTGCAGGCGATCGCAAGCCTCGGTTGCTTCAAAGAGCGCGACAAGCTCATTCAGGAGCTGCTCAGTCCCAAGTAAGATCTCGTCTCTCTCTTCCTCTCTCTCTCTCTCTCTCTCTCTCTCTCTCTCTCTCTTTCCCTTCCACTCTTTCTCCCTTTCGTCCTTTTTCATTTTTCAGTAGCTCTGACTTTTATTTTTTAAATTTCTCGAAATGAAATCTCACTTGAAGCGAGCGAAAGTCCATCCGAAGCTAAAACGAAAATACTGTCGTGCAGAATTACAAAAATAGATTTGACTTGAAGTGAGATTCATCAATCATAGAAGTGAGATTCTTATATATAATCGAAAAAATACAAATATTATCTTTGCTTTCAACGGAGACAATTAATTGGAAAAATTACGAGATTATAAATTATAAATTATACAAATTATAAAAATTAAAAATAACTAATATAAACGTACTATTATAAAAAGATATAAAAACGTTATAAAAGGATTATTATTTTTTCTCTTAATTGATAATATATACAAGTGAATATTTTAGTCGATTAAAGCGAAATTCGTCGCAGTAACGACGGCGTACATCAAAGTGTGCATCAAGTTCTTCAATCTCGAGTGAAAATATTTATTCGGCGATTCCAAATTCAGTAGAAATTTACTGTGCGCGTAGTGAAATGTCACTCGAGTTTGAATGACTCGGCTATTCGAGAAACGGAATTTCACTCGACAAATTTAAAGGGCACACACACACACACACACCTCTCGTTGCCCCCGGAGCTCGCCATTTCCGGGGATATTCGCACAAGGTATTTGCAACTTTACACGCGTGTGTTTTCACCTTTCGTTAGCCACAACACGGAGAAGGTGATCTACTTCCTACTGTTGGAGAGGAAACGGAGAAGACCGGCGTGCGAGGACGAGCTGGAGGTGATGAGAGGCGGCATGAGAGGATCCGCCGGACAATTAGAGGCTGATCCACCGAGAAAGCGAGTGGACACGTGTAGGGTGAACGGCAGCACCGCGCTCAATCTCGGACAAATCAGTCACGGCTCGCCTTTAACACCCCGAAGACAGTCCAGGTAAAGCCGCGGCCATTCCGATGGAATACCAAGCACGCAACTGATCACTCTCAGCCCTCCCTCCGCCGATTTCGTGATTGTGTGGGAAACAACGGACCCGGAAAGATCGATCCCATTCGGTATCCCCCTCCCCCCCTCTCTCCTTCTCTCTCTTTTCTTCCGCAACGATAAAACTAACAGCTGCGAACGCTCAACGAAAATGTTTCGTAACCACAGCTGCGGCTCGCCTCGAAGCCGACGATCGCGTGACAATGTCGACTATCCGCCGCACATGTCGCGTGTTAACCGTATCACGTGTCTCCCCCGGCTGCTTGTTTCCCTTTTTCGTCGGGCCTGAGCATTGCGCGAGCGATTTAGCCGCCACACACGCATACGTACACGCGTTCGCAAAGCCGAGCGAACGTATAATGCAAACGGACCTATCGAATTGCATTTCGATCGGTCATCCGCGTCGCTCGCAGCCCGAGCACTCTCTAATACACATCGATCGATACGCGGCCGATTGCCCCCTTCCCCCTTTTGCCACCCTTCATCGGACCGCAGTCTCGATCTTCGCCCGTTCGTTTGTAATAATCCCCGAGTCGAAATTTGGTTAAACCTTTAATTCTACATCACAGTAAGAGCTAAGATAACGAAGTAAGATAAAAAAATTTCAATTTCTAATGATATAATTTACTCCTATTTTTTACCATGACGATGGTCTTAGATTCCCGTTTTCACTGTTTCAGCGTCGAAATAGGTTGTCTTACAGTAGGATCAAGATAAAATCCGTAGAATTAAAGATACAAGAGGGAAGTTAACGAGTGTAATATCGTTAAGGGCCTGTATTCTCAGCTCTCTTTTATCGATAAATAGAGTGTCTCTAGAAGTAGCTTGGGAACCACCTATCTAATTGGCTGCGAAGCCACATTTAAGGCCACTTTTATCGATAAAAGAGTTCGGAATACGGGCCAAAGTAAGCTTCCACTAGTCGGTAGGTCGTCTAAGTAGACGCGAATGATCATCGAGAGCGTTAAAGTAGCATGAAGATTTTCGATTCGGGCCTGATAACGACGAAGTTATTCTCGCTGATCGTCCTCCAAATCTAATTTCCGCAGCACGAGACACCACGCGCGTCGCTCGCCGAGCACAGGCTGCCACACGCACGCCTCGCATTCGCACGCGTCGACGCCAGGCAGCTCGCCGTTGCACGCGCCGAACGTCGCCGGTCTGCTGAGTCCTCACCGAGCGGTGCCGACGTCGCACATGGGCCAGACCGGAAGTCCTCACCGGCTGTCGACCGGCGGTACCACCACCGCAGGGAACGGCAGCCCGACGAGCCAGAGCGTGCCGACGCCGACGCCGGCGCTCGCCAACGTCGGTATCGAGCTCAACGAGGTGCAACCTGGTGAGTGGTCGACGAGCGTTTCCCCTTGTGCAGTCGCAACATCGAGACTCGAGAGGTCGACGGTGCGAGACAAGAAGGCGGTAAATCGCCGCGTGATTCCACGGATAATTACGTGCGCCGCGGACTTATATCGGAGGCCGCCGAACGACACCAATAATCACTTAAGCTGATTCCTCTTAGAGACTGCTATCCCATAAGCACGGCAGATCGAATTACGCTAAGTGCTCCCGTGTTTATCGCTCGGCCGCAGGATTGTGTGTCAATGTTTAAACAGGGTCCCCGATGCGCGATCGCGATTACCGTCGCTGCCGCCGCTGCTACGTCGGACGTTAGCGTCTTATCGGATGCTATCGTTCGAAGCGCGAGATTTACATCGCGATTGTGAACGAAAGCGCATAATAAATATTCTTCCGCAAGGCGGAAACTCCCGCGCCTCGGAATAAACGATCGAGCGTTCCCAGCTCGAAATCTTGATTCCACATCAAACCATTAATTCTACAATGCGGAAGGAGCTAAGATGGCAAAATAGATTCGATTCTAATGATACGTTCACTTCTATTTTAACCATGATGATGTCTTCCAGTCGAAATTTCGACCCTGTGCTAAAACTTTGATTTTGCACTATACGATAGGAGCTAAAGATAGCAGGATAGGTTCAAAAAAAAATTTCAATACTAATAATGTAATTTACTTCTATTGTGATGTCTGACGACGTCTTAAATTTTCCTTTTCGCTGTTTTAGCGTCTAAATAGGGGTTATTTCAAATACTCAACGAGTGAATTTAACAGTCCAGAGCATTTCCAGCTTCAAGATAACATTAAAATAAAATCTGTAGAATTACGTTTTCATTGTTATATCGTCTCTATAAGTGTCATATCTTTGCATTAATTTTTTGAGGGAAACTTTCTTTCCCGTATGTTCGATAAATGAACAAGTGTAGTATCGTCAAGGTAGATAGGTTTTTATTAGTCCATTTGAGCGGGCACGAAGTAACCCTAAGAGCGTCAAAATCTCGACGGGGAGAGCTTTCGGCGCGTTCTGTAACTCCCGACGTTATTCTCGAGGTGTTCTTTTCGCAGTAGTCGCGGTCGGCGTCACGCCGCCCGGCTCGCCTCACACGGGAGCGGGCTCCGGCGCTCACCACTGGAGATCGCGATTGACCACGATCAAGAACTCCTTCTTAGGCAGTCCCAGGTTCCACCGTCGCAAGTTGCTCACCAGCACCGAGGAGGTGCACCTCACGCCGGATTCTTCGCCGGAGCTCACGAAGAAATCGTGGTTCGGCAGCTTGATGACCACGGAAAAAGACGAGACCTTCACCGTCCTGGTTAAGGGCAAGCCGCTGGCCAGCGTCAAGGCCGACCTGATCCACGCTTTTTTGTCGGTGAGTCCAAGAGTTCTCTGAGAGAGAAAGAGAGAGAGAGAGAGTCTCTCTTCTTGACGCGAGTCTCCTCGCGTTGGATTTCGTTCGCAACGATCGTCGGACGACCGAATTAATCGAATCGAAATTGCACGGCTGTTCGCAGATAGCAGAATTGTCTCACAGCGTCAGCTCGCCAATGTCGTTCCGGGTGGAGTACAAACGAGGTAGCACCGCGCCGGCCATGTTCCAGAGGCAGGTGCGATTTCAAGTTGACATCAACGCGATCTCGAAGCAGCCGAACGAGCCGTTGTTCGCCATCACCTTCACGTTGCTCAGCGGTAAGCTACAATCTTTTGCATCCTCACCCCTAAGATCGGGTAAGATCGTTCTTGATCTATTGATTTCTGAAGGATATCGTTATGATAAATATATCAGGATGGCCTTCGTATGGCTCGGAAATCCTTGAAATCTTGAGCTCGTCTCAGGAAAGTAGGGCAAGGCAGCCGCTTTGCTGCCAATTTCTACGGCTACCGTTCGAAGGACACGTTATCGGCGCTACTGCGTCATTCTATCTTTTTTTTACGTCTAATGAACGATTAAGGTATAATAACGCGGTAATAGTGACAGCTCGCTCCCCAAACGCAACATATTTGCCAAATTTCTTCGCATTTGAGCGAACTGACGCAGTATCCCCTTCGCAATACCATCGGCTTCGATCCGTTCAAGAGAACGTCCGTTGGAAAATTGAGAGGACATCCTTGAAAAAAATTTAACGTACAGTCACGCACAATGATGACTGACAAAGAAGGAAGCCCGATTGATTGGCTCGATACCGACATATATCTAATTTATATAGAGAATAAATGAAATCGACGATGGTAAGATTGAATCATCTCGGCTGTTCCTCGTGTTCCCGCGAGAAAGTTAATCCAACCGAAAAGCGAAAGGTGCAAAGCCCCCGCCGCTCTCTCGGGCGTACACGCGGCAGATACGCGGCAATTCGCGAAGATGCCTCGCTATTTGGCACTTGGCAGCCGTCCAAGCGCAACTAGATCGATGTTACCTTGGCACGTACTTGGCCAGGATACATACATACAATCGCACGTTTTATCCGCATATATTCTACGCTCTTCCACGTCAGGTCGACGCGCGGCCTCCGGTGCAGGCTTTTTTTTTCTCACATGCAAACACGACGTTCGACCCGCTGCGGTCGACGCGGAACAAACCGTTCAAAAGCCCGTGAATCGTAAATTCGACCTGTCCTCGTCACACACGAGTCCAAGAAATTCGGCTCTCGCGAGAACGCGATCCTTCGTGTCGTTAACGCGCAAATTGCCGCGTCTGATTCATTAACGGTCGCTCGACGTTCCGCAGGTAACATCCGGAGATTCAGGCGAGTGTGCGAACACATCCAGTCGCAGGTGTGTTCCAGGAACGTCGGCATCAACTTGGGAGGGCAAAGCAGAGCCGCGCCGCCCAGCCCGAGAGCCTCCAGGAAGTTCGCCACGGAGATGAGCGAAAGCTCCAGCTGCGGCAGCGACACCAGCGAACGGCTCTTCCTCAGTCCTCATCCAGCTACCAGACAGGTAGTCTGTTTCAACAAGGTAGCGCATCATCCCCATCATCATCACCATCATCATAATTGTCATAATCATCGTCATTGTCGTAGTGATTCGATCCAAATTTGTCCGAAGGCGAAACTTGCTTCGTCGTTAACGACGTCCCATCAAAGCGCGCCATTCAACTTGCTTTAAATCTCTCTTTTCCAGTGGCATTTGCGAATTTTATTTTATTGCCAGTTTTCGATTTTATTTCGTAAACCCGCTCAGAGTAGCTCATTCGTTTTCACATTGTTGGCCGATCATGAATAAACTCGCGCTTCACTGGTCGATTGTGTTGATCAGCGTTGGAGTCTGTCGGAGTTTCTAACAACGCGTTGTACTCCGTTGCATGCGTGTGTAACAACACTCGTGTTTCAACAAGTCATGACGAAACCGGGAGCAAAGGTCGCGTGGAAAACGGCCGGTCGACAATACCGGTCGCAAAAGAGCCGGCAACGAGTAACGCGCACGCCCGTTCGTTTTCCAGATCGACTCGGACATCGAGTCGGACACGTCGGTGTTCGACGTGAAGTCGCCGACCCGCGAGAACGGCAGGAGGAGCTCGACGTCGACGAACAACAACAATCCCTTGCCGGGCGACGCGACGCCGACGCCGGGCAGCCCGCCGAAGGCGGTGAGGAGCAACTCGGAGAGCCAGAACACGCCCGAAAAGAAATGCGTCACCACGATGAGCGGCAACAATATAGCGTGATACTACCAGAACTTCCGCTTCGAGTTCCGATCGAGCCTGAAGAACCTGTGGGACAGCGCTCAGCGATTCTGGTGAGACTCGTCGTCGACCCGGCGCGGATAACAACGCGCACTCGCACACGTTCGCGAGCGAGGGTCTAACGAAGCTCTCCATCGGCGGTGGAAAGCGAGGAGCTCGCGCGAGAAATAGACGACAGGGAGGCGAGCGCGCTCACACCCTCGCACTGTCGTAACGTAACGAAGCTCCAGACATCGAAGTGTCTTCAGAGTGCGAACTCCTCCGGGGATTTTCGTCGTTCTTCACTTGCGTGAAGCTGAACGACACCTGCCTACATCAGTTTACTTCGTTTTCGAGACACACCAGGCTCCGATTCGAGAAGCTGCTAGCGCCAAACGAACAGTCGGAGGCGAACAGTCGGAGGGATCTCAAACCTCGTGGAGGCGGACGTTACCTCCTGGGTCGTCGCCTCCGCTACGAGATCGCCGCGAACGGAGTGTGTCTCGGTGAACCTGCGCTACCGAAGACGCGTCACACGAGGAGAAAAGACACGACTCAGAGAAGACGAAGGAAGGGATGGGGAGAAGAGGAGGAACAGAAGAGAGACGCAGGAGAGGAAGACTCGCGATTATCCAGGAAATAAGAGGAGAGACGCGTGTGAGAACGTTCGGGAGAGGTGCGTTTCGCGGGAGGATCAAGTGCAATGACGTGACGTTGTCGTTTTCCGTCACGTGTGTACGGTGTTATCGCTAAGTTGCATCGCCTGATACGTATGCCGCTAATAATAGAAGAAAGAGGGGGAGAAAGGGAGAGGAGGAGAAAAACGAGGGGAAAGAGCTGTGCAATAATGAGGTTGTCGCCGGTTCTCGCGTGTTATGTTTATACACGAAATGTGGCGCTCCTTTGCGTTTAAGCATGAATTCTATTCGTTAGTTAGAGAAGATGACGATAAATCGCCGTTGCTCGAAGCACCGACTAACCTTCGTTATACGCCCCTCCCTCTACTCGGGGCCATGTGTAATTATTATTATTATTATTATTTTCTTTTTTTCCTCGCATTCCCTTCTCACGTTCACGTGTAATTTATATTAATTATTATCGCGTGCGATTCGCTTTCGATCGGCCCCGTTCGACATCGTTATAACTAATCTCCTCGAAGAGCAACCAGTCTAATAAATGCGTACCAAGTATACACACATACACACAATCCAGCTAATTCGAGCTAATCGAGCGCGTAAGGGCGTGGACGGAAACGTTCCGCGGCACGAGGAAAACTCGCTGAGAGATTTATTTTTTTCACGCACGACGAGAAAGAGAGAGAGAGAGAGAGTGTGTGTGTATGTGCGCGCGTATATGTGAGAAAGAAAGAGAGAGAGAGAGAGAGAGGGAGAGGTCTCTGCAGATGCTAGAAGATACTGAGATATAATTAGATATACATATAAATATTATAGAAAATATACGTACACGCAAAGAGAAATCCCGATATCGCGCGACGTGAGCGTCGTGGCGCAATATACGGCTTCTCGTTCGCTTCTCACGAGAAGAAGAGGAAAAGAGGAGAGTACGATGAGCAGGTATATTAAGTAAACAAAAAAAAAAAACGCTTGTGCGAAAGCCGCCGCGATGCAATTAGGGGCTGACGTTGCTGAATGCGACTCGTAATAAGGAACAAATGCAGGAGGGTAAGCGTGCGCGTTGAAGAACCGCGACTTCCCCCCTCCGTGAGCGCGTGGTAATACACGGAGAGAGAGAGAGAGAGAGAGAAAGAAAGAGAGAGAAGGTATATAGTTATCATAAAAGATTATTCTCAACACAGACATATCTCGAGGATCGCCCCCTCCAGCTTCTTAGTGAAAAGGCGATATAAAGGCGTCGTAAATGCGTTTTAAATCGGAGATTCATTGTAAGGCTAAGCGTCTGGCGTGCGCGATAGATACGTGATTTTACGTATTTAGGGGATGGGGGCGCGGAGAGGGCTTTTTAGGCGAATATAAATAAACGGAGGAAGAGGGAGGACCGCAGTCGGTGGCGTCGATGAGTAAAGTTCGCCGAGGAATGATCGATATCTCTCAGAGCTGTGTAAATTCGTGATGATTTTCCGAAGGAAAGATCGTCCTCGACTAACGGCGCACGCGTGTTCCTCGAGACGCTTGCTCGACTATTAGGATTTAGTAGACGTTAGGCAAGAGAAACGCGTTTATAAAAAAGAAGGGAAAAGAAGAAGAGGCTCGCACGAATCAAAATTGCGATTTTTTAGGCGCGGTCGATCCCCGATTCGCTCTCTCGCTTTAGATATTAACTGCGTACTGTATCGCGTATATGGCGGCTCGTTCCTATATAAATGTCCGAGGGCTATCCTGCAATCAGCTGATATGGCAGGCGCGGACTAACGATCCTTCTTCCTCGTTTTCCCGGGCCGTTATATTTCGAGAGTAGTAAAATTTCGCGAGAGAGAGAGAGAGAGAGAGAGAGATAGAGACACGACGATACGTTGGCTCTCGTCGGCCGGGTGAGGGGGTGGAGGAGAGCGGAATTTAGCCGGACGTATCGAGGTTCGAGTTGGAATTTTGGCTGTGCATTGACCGTGCAAATGCCGGCAAAGGAAGGATTAATGGAGATTCTCGAAGTATAACATTGCATAGCTATTGCCTTTCGGTGCTACAAATAGTTACTGTTCGCTGTTCTGTTTAGACATGAAGAAGTATCTTTTTTTTACATTATCTAACTTTCTTAATTATCAATTTTTTTAAATAAGTAACATATTGTTCGTGTAAATTATTCAACCGCAGATAGAATATTGCAAGAAGCAAATAATCTAATAAAAATTAATAGGTAAATGAGTAAATGTAAATAAACTTTCTTCTTCCGTAATCATTATTTTTTATTGGTGTTAAGAATTTCAATAAAATTTGAAGTTTCGAAAGAAGTGCTTCATCCACTAAGAATTAGTTTATCCAAATGACATCTCCAAATTTAGATCCCAAATATAAAAAAATCCGACTTTAAGTCCTTATTAATATTTATACAACTGCTATGTATATATCGTTGATTTTATAACTCTTTTCTTTTCACCATTTGAATATGTTACACGATTAATACATCGTTTACTGACATTATGAATGAAACTTAAATTAAATGCAGAGAATGTTGAAATAATAAGAAATGTTAAATAATTCCTGAACACAAATGCTTCTTCAGTTATTTCATATGAAGGAAATAATAATAAATAAACATTTATTTGTATCAAAATAATACCAAAGTCTCCGTCCAGTGTTATATCTCGAGATTCCATTGATTGTCTTTGAATTCGACNGGGGGGGGGGGGGGGGGGTGCTGTTACGAGCTCGCCTTGCGGCTCGATAAAATACGAGCGTGAAGTTTTATGAGATCGTTAACCCTTAACTATTTTCGATTTTTATAGACTCGTAGACACTTGTAACGACGATTTCAAGGGTTAACGAGAATCGTCTAGGCTATTGTACGACTCTTCGTCGATACGCGCGCCAAATTGAACGAATGAAAGCGTCTGTGTCCGTTTTGTTTTCTTTTTTTTTTTCTTTTCCTCTCGTGTTTTCCTTCTCCGTCGCTCTCGTAAGAAAGCAACAGCCGTTCCGAAGATCCGATGAATACCTTCGATCGCCGCGAAAACGAATCGTTTAGATATCGCCGTTTAGCAGAACGCGCTTCAGTGTCAGTAGTTAAGGGTTAAACGCACAGAGAGTAAATTATCCGCGTGTAAATTATCCGTGTAAACTCGGCGTTGTCGGTTTCCCGAAATACGAAATATACACTCTCCAACAAGACGAGAGAAAACGCTGGTGAATGTTGCAATTTGCGATCAGAGCCGCCGCGACCTTTCATGCGTGCGTCACTCGCATCTCAGGAAGGTTATTATTCTCTCTGAATTCGCTTGACGATGCCGACGAATTCTCCGTTTGATATTTGCGTCGGCGACGATGAACAAATAAAAAGAAAAAAAGAAAAACCGGGCTTTTGCAATATAAAACCGCGAGATCACCTACTGATGTAGGGGAGCGAAAGTAGTAGAAAGAAAGAAAGAGAGAGAGAGAGAGAGCGTGTGCGTTTGTGCGTGTATGAAAGAAAGAGAGAGAAAGGAAGAGCAAGAGGATTCGCGAACGACGAAGGTTCTCGTTACACAGAAGAAAATGAATGTGGTTTTAGTATTACGACACACACACACACACACACACACACACACACACACACACACACACACACACACACACACACACACACACGACATATAAATTGAGATTAGATATAAGCTTGCGATTATCTACTTACTAATTGCGGTTAAATATAAAACTACTCATACATAAGTATATTGTAATAACAAATTGGGGGAGGGGAGTAGGCGGGAAGAAGTGATATGAGAGAGAGAGAGAGAGAAAGATAGAGAGAGGGAAGAGAAGAAGAGTGAGAGTGAGAGAAAGAGAGAGATAGAAGAAGAAGAACAAAAAATTGAAACAAATTACCGGCCATATTAAACTAGGGTTTTATATTGCGCAAATCTGTGGATGAGAGCGGAAGAGAGCTAAAGCACTCGGGTAAATTCGTATTAGCATCAAGCGAATGGTAGAGTTCCGCGTGTCAAGATACTTCGGAACGAATCTCTGTCTCCTGTTTCATCGCACGAAAGTAAACGATTATCGGCTATCCGCGACCGAGTTCTCGGCGGAATTTCGATCCGAATCGGGTCGGACATATCGGTTCTCCGGAGAGGAAAGGAGGAAGCCTGTCAAGAAGAATTGCGAAGAGAACACGCGCGTCTCCGTCTCGGATAGCCGCGTGCCGCTTGAAAAATATCCTACTCGCAGAATCGCGCGCTCATCGCGATATCTCTCGTACGAAAGAACCGAAGTACTCGCTATCTCTCACGTGTCTCCGACTTATTTTTCGATTCGCTTTTGCGCGCCGCGAGACTGCGCGAGACGGCGCGCGAGCGATCTCGCGGACGATCGCGATGGTGATCGTCATCCGCGAGAATATGCACAAAGCGAAGCGTCGCGGCCGAGTTCGGAGTTCGATCGAATTCGCGTTCCTCGCGAGACCGCTTGTCATTGCCGCTTCTATTCGCTGCCAAGAGAAAACTTGGACGCGGCACCTTTCCTTTCCCCGCAAGACCGACGATCGAGTCCAACTCCGACTCCTCGGCCCCGATCAGTCGTCGTCGACTCCTTTGCTCGTTCGTCTCCTTCGGAGAACAACCGAACGATTGCCCTGTTCTCGTCCGTTTGAGTCGATGAAAACATCGACGACATGAAACCAGTGTCGGACTAGGCGTTGAAGACTTTCTCAATTTCTGGCGGTGGAATCTCGCTCGAGGCGACAAGTGGCAGTAAATTCACTCAACGAGTCAGGATGAAGAAAATCACTCTGCATGAGTGAAAAACCGCTCGGATTCGAGCGATCACTCTTCATGCTTCTCGAATGAAATTTCACGCAAGGAATTCAAAGAGAAGGCCGAGGATTGCGGACTCGAGATTCGAGCTTGATCGGTCGGATAGAAAACGGGTTGAAGTCGAAATTAACGGACTCGTCGAATCCCACTTTCCAATCCGCAATCCTCCGCAATATGTCGCGCACGATCTAACGCAAAGGGGCTCGGCGAACGCGCGCGCCTTCCGCCCGCGGCGGTTTCCGCGCGCTCGCGCGCAGATCGCGGCAGAACGGTCTCGCAGGCAGGTCCGCTGCAGGCATTATACAAAATCCCCGATACACCGTAACTCTTAAGGCATTGTAAGGCTAGGTTGATATTATAGGAGATTTTTATACGATTTATAAGGCAATGCAAATGGCGCGGTCGATTGATTAATTTGTGTCTGCCGCACGTTTCCTTGTTATGACGCGTTGAATCGTATGCACGAGTATGCAATGTACCTTCTTCGGAGTGTGCACCGCGCGAGAGCCAAGCATCACCCTGACGACGCGAGTTCGCGTGATCGCGACGGATCCCTTCGAGGGTTATCTCGTATTCTGTGTGTATACACCGGCATATCATTATTATCTCGATAACAATGGCAGAGATATAAGAGGAGAGGAAAGGAAGTCCTGCGCGAGTTGCCGCGGCTCGTCCTCGCGTCGTCTCGAGTCGACGCGCTTCACTACTTACTGTAAGACACGTAAAAACGCTCTTGTTCCGTAAAACTTCTCTCACACAAGTCGTTCATTATTATATATATACATATTGTCGTGCTTCTCTCTATCTCGCGTCCGTAATGTAATCATCGCGCGTCTCTCGCGATTTCTCTCCGCGCGCGCCTAGCCTCTTTTACCTCTGATCTATCCGCACTCTTTGACCCTTCGTAGGCCGCGCGACGACAAACGACGAGGTCCAACTAGTTAGGCAAGATTTTTTCTAGCGGGGAGGAGGAAAAGGAAAAAAAAGAATGTTCCGCCGGATTCGCGGTATTGTCGCTGCGCGTCGAGCTGCGCGATGCGACGCGAGCTGACCACACCGGAGACGATATCCCCGATAGGCTGCTTTTCTTTCATTAATATATATATATATATATGCACAGGGACTCCGTGTTCTTTAAGCACTATTCAATATTTTAGGGGTCGATTTTTTAAGTCATTTTCAAAGGCCTCGTTTTAGGCAAAAAATGTTAAAAATCATATAAAACCATCGTATTTCCTTATGTCTCGCACATATCTCCTGAACTAATAATAAGAAACTTTATCGAAACCTATCAGGAATAACTTTGTAAGTAATTAATGAATTCGTGAAAAATTGCACGAAAAATTCGATTTTATTATATCTATTGGCGAACAAGTTTGGAACAGTGATATATTACTTGAACCCCGTAGGTCAAAAATGAAAGTATTACCTCCATTTATTCGAGTTTGAAAAAGAAAACTCTTTTCGTTCAAGAGCAGTTAAGGCAGGACGATAATTTTATAGAATTTTTAACATCCTCCGTGTATCTCCGAAATGAAACCTCCGAGACCATATATATATTCATATGGACTTTTCTTCATAAAATAATCTCAAAAATTAATTCCTAAAATATCGAACAGTACTTAATAGGCACTCTGTATGTATATATCGTTGTTTAAAAGTCGTCGACTTACCACTTGCGAATGTGGACGCACCGTTGATTGCCCGTTCCATCGCCGGGTCTCGTCCGCCAGAGCACACGCACGCACGCACGCACGCACACTATACATTACCCACCTTTTGGTCCCCCTCAGCGTTGTTCGTGTAGACTACGTAAGACAGGATTAGCGAGTAGCATGTGGGACTCGAGAGATCGTTCCGCAGCGGGATCGCGGACGAGCACGCGTGTCAGGCACGCGAAACGCCATTCACACGGACCTGAAATCATAAGACGAGAGGATTGCCGGACTTTCGACGTTTACTCGACCGACTGGCGTCACCAAGAGGTATGGGAACGTATAGATCGCGAACTGATCTCTGAAGTTGGCCCCACTTTCTCAAAATTAAACAAAAATGAACAGAATCCTGTTTGCTCCCAAAGAGTTAAAAAATTCTTAATCGATTTTAAAATGAATTCCGTCGACTAAAGCAATTGAAATACTATGTGAGAGTACGGGGGGAGGGAAGGGGGAGAAGGAACGAACTTCATGATTGCGGAACTTCAGAATGACATAACTTTACATTAAAATTTAGCCCTTTGATTCTCTTAAAGATAATCGATAGGACTTTTTCAGGGGGCTACGAAAACTCTCGAGAATGCCAAAATCCCAGAAGAATTTTCACCTTTTGGAACTCAAAAAAGTTTTGGACAACGAAACTTCGAAACCCTTTTCAGTTTTTGATCTTAACGCATCCAAAAGTGAACAAATTGTAGGCAATCGATTTCAATATGTTAATTTAAAGAAAATGCACTCTTAGATAAGGATAAAACAAATTATAACATAATAAAATATTTTTACATATTTTGACATCAGCACCTTTATGATACGATTGTCTACGATTTGTTCATGTTTTTCCGAAAGAAAATCCTTCTCGTCTACCACTTTAAAACATGTTGTAACCAAATAAAAAAATAGTCCTCGTGGTTTTCTGAGGAGTTGTATCAGTTATCCTTAAGAATCGATAGACTAACATTGAAAACTGAAAAGTTGCAACGCTTCGAAGTTTCGGTATACAGAATTTTCCAAATTCTCTGGAGAATGACAATTTTTTTCGGAATTTTGACGTTCCGTTGAGAGTTTTGATAGCCCTTCGAATAGTTCTATCGATTATCCCTAAGAATCGGTGCGCTAAAATTAAAAATAAAACAATAATGATATTTTACAC